TTTCGAATTATTTTTTGGTTTGTGTTGCTATCAAAGAGTGTTTTTTTTAGTTTTTCAAACTATTATTTATTTTCCACTTTTTAGTTTAGCAGCTATTTCAAGCCCATTCGTTGCAATATAAAATATATACGTATGCGCAGATAGTGTGATTATCTCACCTGCTCTCACAAACAAAATGTGTGAGGAAATTATTTAATCCTGGCGATCCTGATCAGGATAATGAAATAAATTTATGGAATTTTTATATTGTCACCGATTCTTCATAAGTGTATAAAGTTTAAAATAAATGTGTCCGTTTAAAATTAGTCAAAATTGAGTCCAACAAACAAACATACAAGTGAAGCTAATAAAAGCGTGATTAAAATATTATTATGTAACCAACCTCTGAAGTCGGTCGGAATTGCATTTCAAACAGTTGAGATATAGAGGTGTGGCCTTTGAAGTAGGACACATTGTATAGACTTATACAAATACCTACTTTCCATTATGGCTATGGAAAGGCAAATATTCCTTGCCCCCTTGGTATACATCACTGATAATATTGCATTGATCTTTCCAAGGTAATATGAAGATGTCAGAAAAAATGCACATTTACTGAATACTTGCATATAATAAGAAGATAATCCAAAAATGGTTATATTTCAATAATTTTCTCTAAGATGATGATGAAAAATGTTCGACTTCTCTAAATAGTAAATACAGTTCCCCTGTTGAATTTTGATCAATAAATAGAGGTCCTACAATATGGTTTCCCAATATTCCCGCCTAAACGTTGATTTTTTCTGAATATTGGGTATGTCATTCCCGGAACACGTGAAGGTTGGTGTCACTCCATTAACGGCAATTTTGTCTGTGAACATTGCCGTTCAAAAAAATATACATTCGTCACTAAAATAACTATTGTGGAGATAGTTGGGATGCCTTGCAATGGTTTCTGTCACGATTTCGCAGAATTCTGTTCTTCGATCAGGTTCATCTTCAGTTAATTGGTGTACCATTTGGTGTGTATGGATGATACTCTTCAAAAGTCTCCACACAGTAGAAGGAGACACCTCACAAACATTCTCGACGGAATAAGTAGACTGTTCAGGATTTACTACCATCTCATCAATTATTTGCACTTGCTGTTCTTTCGGAATGGACGGATGACCTGGAGGCTTTTTGTTAAGTACACTACCGGTAGTTGTGAATTTGGATACTAGTTTCCTCAAATATTTTCTACATATAGGACGATTCGGAAAACGTTCATTGAAAATCCATTCGGTCTCGTGAAAGTTACGCGTCGCACCGTAAATAAAAATCGCATCAATTTTTTTCTTCCAATGGACGAGAATTGACCATTCTAGAGATAATTGACGTGGTACCTTTCTACTAGTAAAACCGAAAACTAAATGAGAATATTTTTACTGAACAATGATATTCATTGTCGTAGTGGCATTTTTTGTCGTTTTTTTATACAAAAAATAACTTAATAAACCTTATCGGCTTGTTGGAATTGCCATATAGCAGATAAAAAGGAATATTTCTAGAGATATCGATATTAATGTGTTTGTCTTCAGGAAATTATTGAATGTTCCGCCATTTTGTAGTAGGTGAAGATATTGACTTCATATTCATTAAATTTTTTTCCCAGATGGCGCCCAGTCGCCATCTTGAAAGTTTCATCTGTCAATTTCACTTCAAAATAAAGTATTCATGCATTCATTTCATTATCCCAAATTCCAATTTTTTGAGTTGATCCGTTCAAAAAAGAAAATGCACTGTATAAGTGATGCCACAGTAAATCGGGATATTTAGATGTTTTGAAACGTGTAACTCATTAATCTGTTACCCCAGGAAGTTAAGTTAAGTAAGAGAGAAAGTTTCTATCGTCTGTTAAAACATGAAGATTTCTGGTTTTCTGAATTGAAATTTTATTGCTAATTGACCCAAACAAATACGAAATAATTTATTAACAAGTCTGGATTACCTCAACTCAATTGATACTGAGGTTGACAGCTCTTATCACGATCTAGCTAGTGCATTTAATCGCTGGTGAACTCTGTGTTTATGCATCAATGGAACTGGATGGATGAAACTGATCATTATTATTTTTTGAGAATATAGGTAAATGCTTGTGTGATTGAATAAACTTGGTTTCATTTTTCTTCTATAATATTTCAAAGTGATGATTTGAATATATAAGTGAACGTTGAAAATTGTATCTGGCTCATCTAAACATTCAAATTATGTAAACTAGTTCAAAACTCGCCTGATTAATTGTGACTATTTCTTTCAAACCGTTAAAATGAAAAAAATTGAAGGCTAGGTACCCAAAACAGAATTTAACAGCGATATAACGCTTCTTTCCAAAAGCGATAAAACTGACAGTCATGAAATTTATATCTAGATGTTGTTTTTGAATCATACCTAGCCTCAAACCTCATGCCCTAGTTGTGGATCATTCTAACTAACAGTTTCAATCACTGCTGTCCTAATCAAATTCAGCCAATGGAATCAAATAGGTATTCGAATGTGATTGTGGTCGAATATTACAGAAATTCACAGGTTTAATTTGATATAAAGAGTATGACAGTGGCTAGACTCCAACTCTACTGAGATAACTCAAATGAATGTGTAGGTGAATAAAATACAAAACTCACCAATACAGTGAACAGACACAAGATATAAAAATGAAAAACAAATTGCCACACTTCACTGATTCACACAATTTCACGAAAATAAGAAAGTCCTTCAATTCAAACTCCACAATTATACCAATAGCAAAAATTGATATATGATATTCAGGAATCTCAATTTCGTAATCGAAATTTATTGGTATATAATATTTCCAATTCGAATCAAAACATTATTCTGAAAAGTACTCATTTCATTGAGATCGAAAGCAAACGCGAGTTAATGCGTCAAGTAAGTCGGGTGACTCCTATTGTTGAGAAGTACGAGGTTAGTCATTTACGTACTCTGTTCTTATATTCGAATATAGTCTTTTCAATAATTGTACTTTTAAATAAATATTCCAGTTGAAAATTCTCGTTATTTAGGTAATGAAATTGATTCAATGTGAAAATTAATATTTTGTTTATTATATCAAAGTCATCAGCTGAGAATATTTCAGAAAATAATCTCCCAAATACCACTCAATCTGAAAATTTTCCCACATGAATGTCTATTTTTTTTTCAAATTCAACCTTTGTTATTTTTGAGCAA